CAAAAGAAGCATTAACTTCTGCATGGTGGCTGAGACTTGTAGCAGAATGGTTTACAATTATGACTGCAAGGCATCCAAAAAAAGGCATCACTATCAAAAATCAAGATGAGAAATTTAATATTTTATTGAAATTCATTCATGTGACTGAAACTGTTCAGTTTGGGAAAGCATGGAAGCCATTTCAAACTGGCATTATTATGAGCACATTGAGTGTTGTGAAACTCTCAAAAGAATTATTTTCCGAGGGGTTTACATTTTTCTTACCAGGCAGGTTGACACAAGATGCGCTGGAAAATGCCTTTTCACAGATTAGACGAAAGTCGGGTGCAAAGCCTACTGCTTTGCAAGCCAAGAGAGCACTGAAATTAGTGTGCCTATCACAGTTCATTTCAGATATCAATAATCCAAATTATTGTTCTGAAAGTGACCACAGCCTCTTTGATGCTTCTGAATTAGAGGTTGCTATCAGAAAGGAGGTCTTGCATCCTATCTCCAATTCTGTAGTGCCATCTACCTCTTCTGCAGTGGCAGTGAAACGTCGCTTGCCCCCAGCTGTGGAAGAAAATGATATACATTACATCGCAGGAGCCATATATAATAAGTTGTTGAAAAAAAAAAGCATATGTGAAAATTGTAAAACAGCTATGACCATTTCAGAGGACATGCTGGAACCTGACATACCCGAGCATCGCACAATTCTTACAAAACACAGCAATAAAGGTGGACTGAAGGTCATCTCTTCAGGAATGTATCGAATATGTAGGGAAGCTGAACGAGAATTTCAAAAATGTAAAGATGTACTCCTTCGTTTACAATCAGCCATCACAAAAGAATTAGTTGAAAGAATAATTGATAAATGTACGCATGTGGCCATGCCAGAATGCTGTAATCTTAAGAAAGTAATTATTGATAATTTTTTTATTACTAGATGCAAAGGCCTTACACAGCATCTTATCAACAAAAGAGCCCATAACGTTTCATATTCATCAGCATCGGCCAATAAGAAACAAAAAGTAAAATAATTTTAGAAGGTATGTATGTTTTATATTAAATAATTTATGTGTTTTATGTAATATGTATTACTTTTTCCTAGGCTACGAGTATATAAATTTCTGTGTTTGATGTTATATATGTTACTTTCTGCTAGGCTATGAGTATATTATTATGGTATTATTTTCTTGTTTCTAAATATATAGAAATATAGCATATTTTCCAGTATAAAATTTCAGTTAAGTTTTACTTAAAAGTATGGGAAAGCAGATTTGTTTCATGCATGATCTTTATAATACTGGTATGAAATGAATGAATTTTAATCTGTAAACAATTTTTTGTTAATATTGAAATGTGTTTTCTTTGGGATACATTTTTAGGCACTTGTGGATCATGTCAGACAACATGCAATAGAAGAAAAGATGTCCGTGTGCATAAATTTTCCCATTGTGTTACTTCATTTTATCTAAATTTCAAGGATAATTCTTTTCATTTTTATATGGCATGTTATCAGTATAAAGGCTAGTGAAAATAAATTGGTATGTGTATCTGTTTTTGAAGTGTAATGCTTAAATAAAAAGATGGTGTGTGTTTCTTCATTTAAACAAAATTTCAAGGATAGTATTTTTCAGCGTTGTACTGTTTGTTATTTCTCAATGTAAAGGGTAACAAGGGGAAAAAAACTGGTATGGTACATCTGTTTTTTAAGCATGATAATTTTATTTATTTCTTTAGTGATGCATATATATAGAGAGAAGGTATTTGGTCCAACTGAAGTTATAATAAATCTAATTTTACTAGATCTCTTTCTCCCCTCAGGTGTAGAAAATTTTCAAATGCAGAAAGTTTATTTGCAGAATTAATTCATTTCTGATAAACTTATTATCATTAATTTTTTATATAACATGTTATTAAGTTACACATTTGACTACTGTGTAATAAACTTGTATTTAGGGCAAAAAATTAACTATTTTGCAGCTGGTGACTAATATCATATGCTTCTAAGAATATTACTTTTAACTTTTTTCATAATTTTTGTATTTCAGGAACATGAAACTGTTATTTTGATATACTTAAATAATAAAAGTGTGTATCTGAATCAATTAATGGATACAAATATTTTACAGTTATTTTTAGAAGATATTTGCCATATCGCTTCTAATAATTCATAAAGTATGTTAAAATATAGGTAAATAATTTGGTGCAGAATTCAAATTTAGGGTTTGAAATATAGTGAATCATGAGACTAAATGATTTTTATTGTCATGATTTGCCTGGGCTTAAGAATGTACTTTTCGCCCGGTGGAAATTGTCATCAAACTGTCCTGAACAGGCTTTTTGTTGATAATAACTTCCAGGCTTATCAGTACCTCCCATTTGAGTGGAGGGTATACAAATATAGTACCCAATTTAAATTACATTGTGATTATAATAATATTGTGGTATTAAATAAGTGATTATAATTACAATTTAGATAATTGCATTGTAATTATATTACATTGTATCTGTGAACTCTTAATTTCATTACTTTATGCAATTATGTTGTAAGTGCATAATCTAATTGCAATAATATAATCTATTCACAATTACAAAATAATTATAAATGCAGTTACATCTTAAATAGAGGCCATTTTAATACTTTTAAATTTTTGCAAGATAACTTCCCATTAAGGTTCATTTGGAGGAAACTATGCAAATACTAAAAAGAAGAATTATGCTAAATTTACATATTTTGTACAGTAGTTTCTTGTTATAATGCTGTTCAATATATCTTCAATACTTTTGTAAATTTAACGACATTCATTGCAATCACTGTGGTGCTTTAAAAAGAAGTTTCTTAGTTATGCTTTCTAATAAGAATGTGTTAAAAATTAAGTATTATGTATAATAACTAAGCAATTAAAAAACCTTGACTGCATGAAAATGCTGTTGCTGTGTAAAATAGAAAATAAGCTTATGAAAGATAGAAATAAGCTATTTTATGACTATTAGAAATTTTGAATATTAGAAAATAAGCTATTTTATGCTTTGAAATGAATTACGTGGGGTTAAGTCGTCCTTTTACAATTTAAGAATGTGGTTAACACACATTCTTAAATTGGACAGGTTTTATCTAAATTATTAGTATAAAATATATAAACTATGAATTATTTTGTAACATAACTCAAATTACAAAATTCATTCTATATACGTTCAAATTTATTATCTTTTATGGAATAACTGTTTTTTAATTTAGGTAAAAATTGGATTTTTAGAAGTATTACAAATACAATGCAATGCAACACAAAGGTGATCTGATTGGAGAGGAAGGACTTTTTATTACGGTTTCTAGTTCGTATTTATATTACATTTGGTGAAAATCATCCAAAACACAGAATGCTGTACTTTCTTCTTCCATATATGTTATGAAATATTTCACACATTTAAAAGAAAGTGTTTCTTCAGAGTCTTGCACAATTATTTCCATATACCTCAGACTAAAATGACAACATATTCTTAAGTTATTTTTTTAGTATGAATTTAGTGTTTTTATGGAAATTTTTGTTAAAATGTCATTAAGATAAATTTATTTGCACACTCTACGCTTTAACTATTTCCCCATTTGACACTATTGAAAGTTTTTATTCATATCTTATTTATTTTAGTCTGCTAACAAAACTGAAACATCTAAAGAATAAGTTATTTTGAATATGTTTACAAAATATACGCGAAATTTTTATTTAAGTGAAAACGTCTATATACTATTCGAGAATTAATAAATTATCCGAAAAGTTTATGTGCGCTGAATGCCGCGCGTCTATAAAATAAATCTTTAAAAAAAAAACAGCAGACATTCAGCCAGCGTGTGCGATAAACGCGCCAAAATTGGTAGCGCGGTCCCTCCCTCGCCAAGAGAGAAAAGTTAGTGATTCAGCCTGGTTTAGAGGAGCCTTAAAAGGGGAAGGTTCACTCAAGTGAAGCTTCGGGCCATCCTGTATACGTGACTGAGGAAGTTTGAACATTTTTTTTCTTTTGAAGATGTCAGCTTGTATGCATGACATAAATATTCTCGAAAAATCCGGCATTTTTTTCCCCTAGTATTAATTTTCTTTTTTATGATATGACAACTATGTCAAAAAATATCACAATGTCACGTGGTTTTCTTTCCAGATGTGAAAAAAGGACTTAAAATAGGTTATTTAATATAACTATAATCAAAATAATTTAAATACATTTTAATGTTTCTGTTTATAGCTGGTATCTTCGTTCCTTAAGATACAATGCTATATGGTAGGATTTAAATTGTATAATTTGAACGTTTTTAGGGTTAATTCGTTTTATAACTTTCATTCATGAAAAGTAAGAAATCAATTGTTACTATTTTTATTAATTGTAAAGGTGTTAAATAAAGCAATGCTTTTCTTTATTATGAATTATTGTTCATTTTAAAGTTTATGAACTCGTTACGAATTAATTTTAATTTGTTAAGATAAACTGTTCTGTTGTTAAAATTTTTTTGCATAAACTTACAAATTTCTGGGCAGTATAGTGATAAAAAATTAAGTAAAATATTTACACAAATTGAACATGTGGAAAAATGTATCCAAAAACTTATATAGGTGTATTTCTGTAATTCAACTTAATTAAAGGCAGTTTTCTTTGAGATTAATAAATATGAAATGCGCATAAACTGAAATCAATGAATTCTGTTTTATTTTATTAAGATTTATTTTCTAACCTAAGCGAATCCTTGAAATATGCAGAAACATCATTTTTTAAAGGCTTTAATGTTATGCGCATGCATTTAGATTTCGAACTATTTCTTAACAATTTGCTGTACATAGTAAATTATGGATATCATCTTTATTAATTTAAAACAAAAATTCAACAATAGCGGGGGATTTCATTATAAATTTAACATAATTTTACTGGAAAATAAATGCACGGAACAGCTTAGAAACACGTACATGTCCCTGCCGTAATGTAATGTTTTGAAGTCACAAACATGGACGCCGCTTGTTCGGCGGAGTTTCATTCCCCGCTAGTGGAGGAAACTGCGAACGCTCCCTCCTTCTATTCTAACCTCCTTGGTTTCTGTTTGGAATTGAGTGAAAGATCAAAACATAATCGTGGCTTTGCTTTTGTGAGAAGATTGTTAAGTAGAGAATAAGATTAGATTTTAAATGCGGTGTATATTTTGGCAATTTTACTGTTTTGCCGTGCCGTTAATGTACGTTAATACAAGGCATTTCACGAACGATGTTAAATTTAAGGCTTGTGATTTCTACTATTGTAATGATAATTGAGCTTGGAATCTGTAAGCTATAGTAATTTAAACATTTTTATTAATTTTATGTGTTAATCATTTGACAGAAGTTTTAATAATGCTGCAAATAAGTGCCTTGTATCAGCCATTGTACCTTATTTATTTGCAGATGACTGATACATTGTGCAATCGTGTAAATTGTACATACAAATTTAGATAATCATTAGGAATGTATATATGTATTGACAGGATCCTTCCAAAATATTCAGACATATACGATCAGAAAGGTTTGAGTTTTTATATGTGCTGTCAAATCTTTGAGAAGTTCCTGTCTTCCTTATATCTAAACTGCGTACTTTTAATGACAAATCTAAAAATTAATGATATGCTGGCTATTTTTCTAATATACAGACTGTATTTTGAATTCATCCAAAAAAGTCTGAAAGCCAATTAATCATTAATCCTCAAAAATATAGTATACTTTTTATCCATTGAAAGAATGTGTGCGGAGTTTCCTGCAGAAAATATCAACGTAAAATGTATTAAATACAGAGCACCATAAGGATAGCAATTAATTGAGCAAGTTGTTGAATCATGTGCTAAACATAAAAGGAAGCATATATGTTAAAATACGGATAACATTCTGTGTTATCCATATGCCCCATGTAAATGTTTTCTTGACTTTTGAGCGTGGATAATCAAAGTATCATTTTAGCTATATATTTTTGCAGATCAAGCTAGTGGCTTTCTCAACTATATTATGCCATATCTTTTCATTCGTATTTCTGTATCGAAACCTTTGTTCCCATCTTACTTTTTAAAAAAGTTTTTTGGTTTCCTTGCTAGCTTCTTTAGGGTGTACTGTGAAAATTCTATGTTGAATCTGTAATACATAATCATCCATAGCAGGTAAAACAAAATTACAATAAAATGCTTCAATTGGCTAATATGTAAAATGTGCTTTTACAGAATATATTATATCATTTCTTTCATAACATTTTAAATTGTCATTGTTTTTAGAAGGTGTTAGGGGCATGTTACTTCTTTGTTTAAAAATGTCAGGCAGTCAGAATCATAGCATGTTTTAGAGTCCGTATGTGTAGTTAATACTGTATTCACAATTTTTCATAATGCTGAGTGGGCGAAAAGCAAAATACATAACATTTTTTTGAAGTTGAAACTATTACTATTCTGGAATGATTTATAAGCTGTCAGACAGTGATAGAACAGTCAAATCAACATCTGTTGCTGTTCTTAATATGAGAGTGGATTGAAGAAAAGCTTAGAAGGGTTATTAAAAATTATTTATTAACAATAGTCAGAAAGTACAAAAGGAAATTAAGAGGCGTATTTGCCTATCATTTTCCCACAATAATCAAATCTACAGAGAATATTCACATATTTTTGTAACGACTTTGATTTTCTCCATGAATTTAAATATTAGTTTTAAAATACAAATAAGACTGGCTTCAAATTGGAACAAGGTTTAATTATCATCTGCAGCATTAAAAATATTCTTTTCTTAAAATTATTCTGTCTCTGAAAAATACACAATGGATCGAAGGCTATGTTTCTGTGGGTGAAAATATGTTTCAGGGTGCCACTTGGGGATTTTTGGCAATAGGCCAACAAGGCACAATTTGAAGATGACTGCTAGACAAAACCAAAATAAGAAGTCAAAGAATTGCACAAACTCGGTGATCATGTACGAATTGATCTATTTTCACTTAAAAAAAAATCAGAGGATTGCACAAACTCGGCATTGGCACTCCCTTGACTTGTCCATGTACACATTGATCTATTTTCATTTTAAAAAACTCAGGAGAATGATGACATCATATAATGTTAAAACAAAGTTACGCTTCAGCAAAATTTGTAGCCAACTGAAGCTTGGTAAACTGCATTTTAAATCGCACGATGAAATAACCTAAAAAAGGAAATGCATGTTATTGCATATACATACTACAAAAAGGAAATATCGACTTTCCATATTTAGAAATTTCTGTGTCTTCAGTCTGTGACACACAAAATTCCTTAACAGCATCCATAGACTTTCTAAAGTTATCTCAACTAGAATATACATATTGCTTTCACAAAAATAAGTGTAAAAAATATCCTCCCTAGTGCCAGACTGTTCGTTGCATTTCCTGCATGAACCTTTCTTGTGACAAACCCATTCAAAGCCATCTGAACGATCTATATGTTCGACCATATGCATTTCCTTCGCATAAACAGGACACTTGTAGTGACTACTAAGTAAATCTTTGTTTACACACCAATCAATTAATGCTTTTTTTCCTTTTCATTCCAAATTGTACAGAAACCTCATATTAATCTCATCACGTCTAGCCATTCTATGGTGTACAGCACAAAATAAGACATCTAACACAAAAATAAGCGGTTAATCTTTGGATTATGGTAACTTGGCGATTTTTTGGCGAAACTTTGGCAACCAACCCTGCTACAGCAACCTGCTAGTTTTTTGTTTGGATGCCATTTTGTTTTCACAAAGTAAAGACATGGTTTTTTAAACCTCAAAATTTTTTTCCAACTATCTGCTAGCCGAATTACGCTTATGCTAGAAATTTTATGGAACAAAAGTGCTTAATCATGACGAAGATTAGGTGCAAAATTGGGAGAAAGTGCAGAATTGCCCACTGCTTGCCGCGTTTTTAAGAATTGCACATACAGGGTATTATCCATGTACACGTCAACCTATTTTCACTTACAAAAACATCCCAGAATCGCACAAAAATGCCATTGCGCACACTCTTGACTTTATCCATGTACACTGCTAAAATCCTAGCTAGTAACTTTTATCACCTTGCCAAAATGTCGCCAAACTACCTGTTACCATATTCCAAAGATTAGCCAAATAAGCCCTTATAAATATTTTTCCGTCAGTCAAACTCGCTGCAATCACGTCATAACAGGGTTCGCATAACATTCAACTACTCAGGTTACCATAAATGAAATAACAGTTTTGCAATAAATGAAACAACAACTTGGCAATAATCTAAGGGGCATCATAAAATATAGACTAATCATTTTTGCGCTGTCTGAATAGAAATATGTTCTTTCAATTATTAAAAAAAGATGTGGAAAGCATGGTTTTAATGTTCTACACGTAAAATAAGTGACATAATTTATATGAAAAGAAAGAAACATTAAAGTTTACATATGACTTGGAAAAAGGCAAAAAATTCATACCCAACAAATGTACATACAGCTCTAATTAAATAAGAAGCATCTCATCTTTAAAGCAAGATCCGACCTCTCCCCCCCCAAACAGCTATTAAAAATTTTTTAACTATCTCTGTAGGAACTGTGAACAGAATTATAAAATCTGATTTAAAGTTAATCAAAACCAAAAAAATGATGTTCATCGCTTAACCGCTTGCCCGAGTATCCCGAGGTATCTCGGGTTCGTATATATTGCAGTTAATTATCATCCCGAGAAAACTCGGGGAAGCAGAATTTGTTGGTACGATTTGTTTTATCACAGTTTTACTCGGCCTGGAGGAAATGAAAGGAAATATTCAGCTTTGATTCGCAGTTTGCCAAGTTTTGTTGGTTGCGTGGTGCTTTTGACGGGACTGGTCATGTGTTTCCCTATTGTATAGTATACGTCGGCTTGTGGATTAGTAATGTATAAAAAAGGTTACTTGCACTGAAAAAAAGTAAGATAATGACAATGATGCAAGATAGCGAAAGCGATGATTTTTCAGATAGTGATTATGAAGAGGTGAAAAAAATATTTTTTTTTTTTTTTAAATCAAATCCAAAGAGACTGTGTACTCTGTTCTCCCGTAAAAGAGATTCCAGTGGTAATTCAGTAAGAAAAGAGACCAGATGCCAGTGTACAGAATGTCAGGTATCACTTTGTGTCCTCCATTGTTTCAAAAACTATCATAAAAAGACTAACAGGTATTTTTCCGTTTTGCCGGTGCAAGCGATAAAGTCACCAGTAATGGTACGACCGATGCCAAATGAAATATCCTCACTGGTAACCTTTTACATTTTCAAAACAAGTCACAGCCATTTCTATTCAGATTGACTGTTTCTTTCAATACTGGCGTACAATTACATATAATTTTTACCAGATAGTTCAATTTTTTGCCCTAAGGCCATTCGCGGGTGGTAATTAAGTCAATTATGATGCAATTACATTGCTCATCCGATGGCGAAAATATAGAAAAGGCAATGTCAAGGGTTAAAATCATCAATTCTAATGAGAATGCACTAGCGAAGTAAAGCACTGTGGCTTTAATTTCTGAGTAAGCTATTCGTACGAATTGAAATAGTTCTTGCATTTAAACTTGTATTCCAAATTAAGATTTAACTTGAAATAATGTAGATAAGTACTGAGAGAATTAGATTCTTGTAGTGTAGTTTACGTGAGATGAGATCACTTGGGGGTCACGGGATATGAACCGGCGAATCAGGATGTTGTACAATGAAAGCATAGTAAATTCTTAAATTAATGTCTTTTTACAAATTTATTGTCTTTATTTATTGGCTTTTTTACAAAATTTTAAACGACATTAAAATATTTATACCTTCAAAATAAAAAATTCTTAGGACTAACTTTTGTCAACACTTTTTATGTGTATACTGTGTGTTTCTGCCAATAAAGTTTACTTGGCGAGATTTGAGGCGGCGAAGCGGAAAAGTACCGACTAATATTTAACTTTTTTTTGTTTGCCTTAGATAACTTGGGATAGTAAACCAATATTAAAACTAAATTCTTTTACACCTTCAAAAAATTAAAAATTCAACTTAAAACCTACATATTTTGATTTATTTCGTTTTGTTGTATTTAATAATAAAATTAAAATGTAATGATTTTTTGCAACTTTTTTCAAAAAAAATTGGTAAGGAAGCGGTTAATGCCAAAACATATTTCTCAGTCTTAGACAATGTATAGATATCTGTATGAAAATTATTTGGCAGGTGGGAAATGGAAATATATAGTTACAATTTATGACGCTTGGATATACTTATCTGATTGCAGTAGAAAAAAAGATCGATTTGCTACCAAAAAAGAGGAGAAAAAAACTTAATATGTTGGTTCGGAGAAAATGAGGAACATTTTTTTAAAGGTTTTTTGGCTATTGCTGGATTTTTTTATAGCGAAAAACTTGAAATAAGGAAAGTAGAAAAATATTAAATTATGAATTAAATGTCAAAATTAATTCCGATTTCTATCAGAAGTATGTTTCAACTGTTTTTATAAAAGAAATTCCATCTCATTATCCAAACAATCTTCACTGTATTAAGTTTCATCAGGATAAGGCTCCAAACGATACCTCTAAATCTACTGCTCTATTTTTTGAAAAAATGAGAAATGAAGCTGGTATTGAAGCTATTCGCTTTAAATGCATACCGCCCTATTTCCCTGATGTGTCTCCTATTGGTTACTGTGCATTTGGACTTTTAAAACAAACTATTTATAAGTGGCATCCCAAAACATTGAATGGACTGTGGAAGATTGTGAAGGAGTAGCTTAAAAAAAAAAATCAACCTTGAAGGAAAAGGAAAATGACATTTATCTTGGAAATCAAGATGTAATAGGATAGTTCAACAAAAGAGCTGTCAGATTGAATATATTAGGAAATAAAATTCTGAGGTTTATTTATATACAAATCTTTGTAAAATCAATACAAAAATTTTTAAACACCTTCTGTATTTAGGCATTTATCTGAATGCAGGACCAACTTGTTTAACCTGGCGTGGAAGAAATCACAACTCTGCCAGTTGTTGGTGGCTGTTTTCACATCACTATCTGAAGAAAATCTCATTCTAGATAAATGTGTTTTCAGTTTTGGAAAAAGTAAATATTCACTGGATGCTAAATCTGGGCTGTATGGGGAAGTGACTTCAGACTTCCCACTTAAACATTTGCAGCAGTTCTTGAGTTTGGCTAGCTGTATGCGACCAGGCATTGTAATGCAAGAGGATGATATTGTCATCCAACATGACAGGGCGCTTTCATCTTGTAACCTTGTCAAAGTGGCGTACTAATGATTGGCAGCAACAGTTTTTCCACACTCCAGATACTTGATCAGGATAAGGAATCACGGCTCACACCTCCAAGTAAAACCTCTTTCCTAAACATCTTACCATTTCAGTCACTCTGAAGCATCTGCGAACTTAACTCTACGTACTGTAACAACCACTGCTAGACAAGTAGTGCCATTTGTCAATAATCTGAGGGAAAAGTATTCCCTCCACAATAATTACTTTCCAAATGCTGATGCTTGTAACCTCTTCCTTTTGATCCACATATGTATAAATGTCTGTTAACTTGGATTTAAATATATTTCTTTCTGAAATTTTATATGCTACATATATGACTAATTTTCTGAGAAATTATATAATCTCATCCTCAGAATTCAAACACTTCAGATGGTGGAAAGGGGATAAACTTTATCCGTAATCAGTCTGATTGTTGGTTTGGTTCTAGAGTTAAAAAATGTTGTTTGAATTTTATCTAGGTGTTAAAAGTGATGTTCCTTAAATTTTCTTTAACTATTTATTGTTAATTTAGGTTAAAATAAAATAACGTACAAAATAATGATTATTGGAGAAGTAAAACAACAAAAATCAGTATTATATTTGTAAACCTCCAGGACTAGTTTTGATGGGTTAACTACAGAACCATCTTCGTCAGCTGCCAAAGTGCAAATATAATGCTTTGTTTTACTTCTCCAATAATATTTATTGTCAGCTTGTTTTAGGATTTACTTTTTTTATTAAAATAATTTTCATTTTTTATAGCTTCGACACACTATCAGCTGAAATACTATGAAATTTTAAGAGCATCTGATTTTGGACATAGTATTGCAAAACGAGGAATACATCCAAGCTCACACCATTTTAACACAGTTAAAGAGTTGTCTTTTAAAGCTTTGGGGAGGTAATGTATTAAGAAATACTTTTATGTCTGTGGTATTTTTTCTCCATACAATTTATGGGAACGTTAATTCCTTTTAACAGTCCTATAGCTATCACTTTACCTTTCCATAATTTCAGTGAAATTTTGATTTCCCTATTCATCATTTAGTACAGATGTATTTTTGTGTACTTAACATTTTGTAAAGTAAGACAAAATATGAGAAGCTGTCATATCTTTTTAAAGAAGTAATTTGGTAAAAATATATTTACGGGTGCCCGTTGGCAATAATGGCGATTTTTGGCGCCAATTATTGCCAAGGGGCACCAAGTTTGTGCAATTCTTTCACTTTTTCCCGCTACACAAATCCAAAATCAAAAGTCAAAGAATCGCACAAACTTGGTATCCATGTACACATCGACCTATTTCCACTTAAAAATGCATCAGAGAATTGCACAAACTAGGCATTGTGCACTCCCTTGACTTTGTCCATATACACATCGATCTATATTCACTTAAAAAGTGAAAGGAGCAGCCAACAAAAAATATATAATCTCAATAAACTACATTTTAAATTAAACAGTGAAGCAACATAAAAAAGGAAATTCATCTCAGCAGTACACAAAGGAAATATCGACTTACCTTTTTATAAATTTCTGAGTTTTCAGTCAAACAAAATTCCTTAACAGCATCCAAAAACTTCCTAAAATTATCTGAACTAGAATGTGTGTATACCACATAAAATCACAAAAATAAGAGCAAAAAATATCCTCTGTCGTGCCAGTATCAGCCGACATTCGACCATACGTATTTCCTTCCTACAAACAGGACACTTGCAATGGCTACTAAGTAAACTTTCATTTACACACTAGTCAATTAATGCTTTTTTTCCCCATTCATTCCACATCATGCAGAAACTTCAAATTAATCTTATACCATATTCAGCCATTTTACCATGTAAACCACGAAATAATCACTGTACTTCCTAAGCTACATCTAACACACAAACAAGCCCTTAATTTTTCCCCATCATTCAAATTCACCGCAATCACGAAACCAATTTCGTCAAAATAAAGTTTCCATAGCATTTAACTACTCAGGTTACTATAAATGAAACAACAACTTGGCGATAATCCAAGGACCACCCTTAAATCTACTCTAACCAATAATTTTTATAAGAATGGTAGTCAGATAATTTTATTTTTGATGATATTTTAATCCAAGGGCCACCCTTAAATCTACTCTAACCAATAATTTTAATAAGCATGATAGTCAGATAATTATATTTTTGATGATATTTTACTTTCTTTCCTGTGTAAAAAAATAGAGATTCCTAATACATATTGAAATTAGATGCATTCAGAGTTATAGTCATATATTTTCTAAATATATGCTAATTAATGTGAGTTTATTTATTTTAAAATCTAGCTTATGAGTTATATGTAATGTAACTGTCTGTTCCTAAGGTACATGGTTTCATGTATTGAAATTTTAATAATGTTCTCAAAATCCTTTTGGCCTGCAAAAGAAAATTTTATAATCGCACTTTACTGACATTTAAATTTTACTGTAAATATTTTAAAATACTGAAACTTCAAGAAAGTACCAAAAAAATATATTGCGCTTGAATTGCAAGCAAATAAATGCATATAAAAAATTCAGTCAGCTATATATAACTTAATACAATTAAAGATACTTGCTTAAAAATTATTTTTTATGGCAGCAGTTATCTACCATTTCTCTTTTGCATACGACGTTGTAATATAGGCTACTTCTAACATGTTCATTTTTTAAATATCCAAAATTTCATCCATTACTACTTGTATAAATAAGTAACCTTTAGTTTTACATGTATGATAGCTTAGTTTTAAAAGTTTAAAAATTCTAAAATCAGATTCTGCGGGAATATCAGGATTCGGACATATTTTAATATTCCAGAAGATATTTTAATCCTGATGACTAGCAAAGATCTTTCGTAATTATTTTTAATGACAGTTTGCTGTAATTTGGTGAAATTCCTTAAATGGTTAAGATTTGCATGCTTGCTTTGATACCTGTGTTTTATTAATTTTTCTTTTAAGGGTTGTGTTCTGTAGCACTTTGGTAAAAAAGCAGAGTAAATGGTAATTATCATACGATCTGAGAAATACATTTTATCACTTTTTAGAAAGAATAACTGCAGCAAATAGTATGAATTGTAACATCAGTATTCAGGAAGACATAACTGCCAACTCTTCCAGTTTTTCATCATATCTTCCACTATCATGGTACATAGAATCTCCTTTTTTTTTTTTTTTTTTTTTTTTTAATTTTTAGACTTTACTAAGGAAAATGTTTACCAGCAGAAAATGAAATTACATTCCCCCACCTCTAATGATTTTTAAAATAATTTTTCTTATTAAATTTTATTTCATCTGAATTTTATTTTTTGCTTATTACATTTTATTGATCTTATTAAATTTCATTTGATCTGAATTGTCTTAATCTGCCAGAGAGATTTTAATAATGACGATTCAAGCAATGTTTAATCAGTTCACATTTGTATTTAATTTTGTTTAATTCAAGATATGGTATATTACTGAGTTTATCCACTCAAATTATTATGTACATTAATTATTAATTTTATTTTCATCATATTTCAACAAGTAAAAGTTTTCCTTCACTACTTCAGATTTTCTGAATATAAAAGTGTAAGAAAATTAGATGAAATTCAAATTAAATGTTAATAATACATTTAACATCAGAATTAATTTGCAAATAGTTTAGTAACTTAAATCTTGCATTGAAAAGTGAATAAAAGTCATTTTGGAGGTTCCATTGAAAAAGTGTCACCATGCAGTGTGCCCTACTAGTTTCTCCCAGTTTTTAAGATTTTAAATTTGGCAGCTATGGGAAAGATATTGTAAAATACTTCTGTTTTTTCAGTTTCGGTACATTATTTCTTGTTGACAGTTCCCTTTCTCAAATATAATTTAAGCACTAGTTGGCTGTAACAAATTAGTATTTAGTGAGATTCTATAGTAAAGGATTTATTTATTTGCTATTTTTATGATTTACAAGGATGTAAAAAAAAGTCAGTAGTAAGAGCAGTACAAAGTAAAACTTGCTTTAGAATTTGCTAGATGCTGTAGTTACTGAGTAATAAAACTATTCTGTTCTTAAAAGTACTACCCATAATTTATATTGCTATCCAGTCTTGTAGTTGTTCATTGTATTTAATGAAATTGTGCCTAAATGTAGTCATTGTGATAGTTGAAAGCTTTATAAAATAATGCAACTATAATATGTATTATTATTAACTTTTATAGAAAGTTTCGTCTGATATTAAATCCTGCTCAAGGGCTGTTGTCTCCCCGATTTAAAGCATTTACAGTGGATAAAACTGGTCGTAAGCAATCTCTCTGGGTGGATAAAGATACATTCTTTGAAGGAAGAGTATTTGGTAAGAAATATGTGAATGAGTTATTTAAAATCCATTAGATGCATATATTAGCATTTTTAATATATCATTAGGATAGAAATGCAGTGAAAATTCTGTTAAAAGACCATCCTTGAATGATTATTATTTATTTATTTATTTATTTATTTTTCTGTAGAGATGGTCTTTCTAAAGAACATGATTATGTTACTATCAAAAATATTTTAAGTACTGTTCTGTTATCAAGACTGAATTCAGAAGTATGTGTATATATTGCATCTATGTATGGATGGATGTTTTCATGTATGCATGTAATTATGTATGTACGGATGTATTTGTGTGTGTACATATTCACATATATGCACATGCATCCATACATACACGCATACATATATACATTTTTGAATCTGGTCCCGATAACAGAAGAGTACCATATTTTATCATTATTTAATTATATTCTCAGAAATCGTGGTTATTTTCAAAGGGTTTGCCATGAAGGTATAGCTGTTCATGTAGTGTAAATGATATTTTAAGATCTTCATAATGTGGTATGTCATTTCTTTGTTAAACTAGGAGTAGTCCAATAGGATCCTGAGTCACTCCAAGCTACAAATACGTTCTATCATAAAAACTAATTGGCCATTATCAGTTAATTACCTATTTAATAGTGTTATTCTCTTAGTCCTTTCAGTCAGTATCACATTTCAGAAAGTATTTTTCTTTTTTCTTTCTTCTATTATGAACCAGTCATTTATTGAGGTCAAAGGGAATAATATGGGAATCTTCACATGTCATTAACGCTCCAAAACGTCTCAGTTTACTTCTCAGATCTCATGGATAATGAATGTGTGATTATTTGGAATTTCTTAAAAATATTGTACAAGTGAAAAATGACCAATTATGAAAAAGAAATTGTGCAGTCCAGAGTATTATTGGGTTCTGTAAAGAACATCAGATGAAGTAGCTTCACTTTATAAAGATAAAAGTGATTTTCATTTTTTGTTTGTTAACATGTTCATTTACAACTTCACAGTTATGATAGTAAATTTAAAGTTTAACCTTAATAATAGTAATAAACAAGTTAAGCGAATGAATAAATAAATAAATAAAAACTTTAAAAGAAGAAGTGACACTTACATCAGGATTTGTACGGTCCTTAAAAGTCCTTAGATTTTTTGGAATTGATTTTTGGTCCTTAAGGTCCTTAATTTTAGCCAAACTCGGCAGAAGGTCCTTAATTTTAATCATCTGAAATTTCTGTCTGGTTTTACGACTGCCATTTTGAGTGTGAATTAGCATTTTGGAGGAATATTTTTGGCAATTCACTGACATATATGATTATCTTTTGAATGGGTTCATGGGTTATAATTTGTTTCTATTTCTAATATAAATGATAGGATACTTGAGTTTCTAGGCAAGAAATGAAATATAAGCATCTCGAAATTTGTTTTTCGCTTTTGGGGATGTGAATTCTTTTATTAAACGGTTCTAAATTTGGCGATTTATCAACATTTTGGTGATTTTGAGATCAGTTTCTATAGAACATTTTTAATTCCGAGATCTGAGAAATTTTCGATGATTTTTTTTAGAACATTATAACATTGATAAATATCATTAAAATAATGGTAATATATTGTAATTATTTTTAAGAAATAACATTAAAGTAAAGCATTTTTATTTTTCGCTGCCATATTATAAATTCCGTTTTGGCCACTTATGCAATATCTTGAATCTGAAAAAATAAACAAGTTATAATGTTATAAAGCACAATTTACAAAACATTTCTTAGCAAAAGCAAAATAGCTATGTAATTATTTAAAATATTTTCTTTTTAATTTTTTTATGGTAAGAGTCTTCCCATGTTATTGGCTCATATGCATCAGTTTTCTCTGAAATTAATTTTACATTTTCCCCTCTGATTTTTTTTCTCAAAATATTTCTGGCTTTTTGCTGTTATAGAATTCGTAGGAGTAATTTTTCTTTAGGATTTTAGACATTGCAGCTTGGAAGGTTTAGAAGAAAGCAAGATTTATAGACCTACGATTCTAGTAGATTCGAGAAATATGTGACAAAATTTGAAATGTCTGTATGGTATCAACACGTAATGGATGCATTTTACAGAAAGTTTGCAATGAATTTCTTACTTTTTGGAGAACATCTGGAAGAACTATGAAAACATAATATTTGAATGTTTTACTTCTGATACTAGAATCTTTCAACATGTTTATCTTCCCTTTATTTTCTCTACTTTTCACTAGACTCAAGCATGGAAAATATTAAAAATGCTTCTAATCTTAGCACATGGGCAGGGATTATAAAAAGGGATTTTTTTATTAATAAAGAAATTGAAAACTTACAATTTAAAAGATTCATCTAATATGTCCTAATGCATCATACATATAGCTGGCATTAGGCATTTTCCCACCTGATGCAATCTCTGTGGATCCTAAATTCTGCTGCCTAGTGTCTTTGTAAATTCTGCTTCCAGTGCCTCCTCTAAATTCTAAAAGTTCTGCCATTTCTAGATTTTGTTGTTTGGTGTGCCACTAAATTCTAAAAATTTTGCCACATCAGCTCTGTAATCGCCCTTTACCGTATATATTTCATATTTCTTCTAAATGTTCATATTACTGAAGAAATAAAATTAGCCACTTTTTCTATACATTCTAAATGCATTTAGTGTTTTTTAGAATAACAGAAATCCTTAATTAAATCCAAAAATTCTAAAATGAAAAGGAAACATGTTGAAGAAAGAAACGGTATACATAAAGAAAATTATTCTTCAAAGATATGTGCAGTTATTATTATTATTTAAATTACCCAATTGTTTATGATCTCAGCTTTTACTATATTTTCCCGTTTCTGTTTCCTTATATGATAGAGTTACTGAGCCAGATTAAATTAAATTGTATAGTCTTTGACCACTACTCCACATTATTAGTTTGAATTTGACTGTTCTTGTTTAATTATGTCACCATGAGCTGTACTTGATTTTGTTAGCATCAGAACGTGCCTTTATGTTCTAAGTTCTTTTTAAATAAGCCTCTTATTTAAACCGTTGTCTGATATTATAGTTACTTTCAGACATAGCGATAATATGCTTCACGTCTGTCAGAGGTTTTGGACTATTTAACTTTTAGCAGATAAAGTAAACCCTCGTAGGTGGGACATGTTAGGAGAATGGAGAGGTTGACATGTTAGGAGATAAAGCATGCAGAAACTAGTGAGGGCAGTGGTTTGCATATTAAGACAAATCTGTGATTGTTAGAAAAGATGCTTAAAGAGAAAGGGAAATTGATATAAACTAGCCAAAATGTTTGGGAAGGCTTAAAATTAAAATGATGGATAAATATTTTGTTGAGTGTTTTTGTTACAAAACATAAATGTTTTGTAGCTTTTAATGTGTAATAATCCTAATATCGTTTAAGAATCAATGCCATAAATTACATGTATTTTAAACTATGAAATTTTATTAAATTTTGATTTTTAATAGGGCTTTTTTAATAAATTTTGTTAAAAAATAAATTTAATAGTAGTCATGTAAATCCATAATGACTAAGGATATCAAACTACCTAATTTAATCATTTATAACTAACTGCTTACCCTTAAAAATTATCTCTACACATTAAAGCGAGTTATTGCTTTTCATTAATACCCACTGTGGTCACAAGATAAAATACAAAAATGTAAAAATTTGAGTAAAACTTATTCTTTGCATCTATGAGACTTAAAATAATACAAAATAACTTATCACCTCTGGTGCTTTAATGGCTTATTGGAACCTTAAAGTATATTAACTGGGTTATAATCCCTGGAACTCTACACGAACCTATGACACTAACTGCATTAAACAGAGCCTGACTAACTTTCAACACTTGCTAACCATGCCTACATCAGGCCTGTCAGGTTTGTTCTAATCAACAGGTCTCTCTCTAAACAAGCAGCAGCGGTGACAACATTCAGTCTTTCGTTATGAATCATGCTGATTATGATCTTACTTCTCATTTTAACCTATGCCATTTGACATAAAATCTACCTGCTATTTACTAAACCTCTAGACTGACCAAGTATGTGACATAATGAGACATTAAAAAAAATCAACATAAAGCTAACTGTTAGTAAAACCTAAATGTCACTTCTTTCAAATATATCCAATAAGTGTAAAATATTAAATGCTACTTGATCAATTCTTAAAGTTTATTTTATTTTCAAACTTATTAATAATTATGTTAATTCATGTTTAGTAATAATGCATGCTACTTAGGGATCTACTTTATTTTTAGGATGGTATTACAAATGTGAAATGCAGGTATCGATAGCTTGTATTTTTAATTGAATTTGTTCAGTTTGCATTTGCTCATGGATCCTTAATTTTTTTCATTAATTGTCCTTAAAAGTCCTTAAAAGTACTTAATTTCCATGTGCAGAAATGTGTACGAACTCTGTTACATGCAAAAGTGGAAAAAAATTAATCTAACCGAAAAATAAAGATTAGTGCATGTAACATTCTCACTTCTTTATCAAGGTTGAAGTTTCTTACTCTGGACATATGAAGCCATTTAATAGAATTGGTTAAGTGGTACAGAAAACTAAAAATGATTTTCCTTTTGAATTTATTGTAAAATATTAGTTTATAGCTTCACAAGCATGATAGTAAATTTTAACTATAAAATAATTTAAAAAAAAAAACCTTTTAAATTCAAAAGAATGATATTTATGTGGGGGAAAAGATAAATCTAACCCAAAGGAAAACATACATGCATCTTATTTCGATACATGGAGCCATTCAACAGAATTGAAATCTCTTATTCTGGATGTACGGAACCTTTCAACAAGAATTTTTTATTGACTTTAACATTAAAGCTAATATGGTGAAATGCATTAGCACTTAAGGAAATGTCTCCAAATTATCAATTAAAAATTTTGGTAGAAGATAAAATGCTAAAAATACAGATGAAATGGAGACGAGATCATTTTTTCCCCCTTATCTGCATAAGTTATCTCATGCTAATGCAGATATTTG